CTTCTTTTATAGTGGAGAACAAGTCATAATCCCCTTTGGATGAGTTTTATGATAAGTGCTCAAATGTGATGCATTTTAGCACCTAAGTTAGGGTATTTTAGTCCATTTATCTACCTTACTTTACCATTTTAGTACTAATTTGTGTTTTTGTCTATTTCAGGTCAATAAGGTTCAAACAGGCTAAAAAAAGCCTATTAGCTCAGTTTTGGAGTTAAGAAGAAAATCCAGAAAAAGTCAGAAAAACTGCACTGATCAAACTTCGATCGATTGAAGGATGTCCCGATCGATCGAGGATCTCTACAATCGATCAAGATGAAGGCGGTGTGATAAATGCTCAAATGTGACGCATTTTAGCACCTAAGCTAGGGTATTTTAGTCCATTCATCTATCTTACTTTCATGTCTTAGATACTTATTTGTGTTTTTGTCTATTTCAGGTCAATAAAGTTCAAACAGGCTGATAAGAGTCATTTAACTCAATTTTGGAGCTAAGGAACAAAGTTGAAAAAAAGCCAAGAAAATGCACCAGAGGAACTTCGATCGATCAAAGATGTCTACAATCGATCGAAATGAGGCGGTGCCAGCTCAGCAAAGTGTATAAAGCCTAGAAGATATTTTTTATGCCACGTCAGCTTCGATTAATTGAAGCTAAATGTTTGATCGATCGAGAATGCTGCTGGCAGTGAGTTGTCTAATTCCCGAGCACGCCGATCTCTACCTAACTTGTGTAGCTGCGAATTTCCTCCAATCATACGCTATATTTCTGACTTGGTGCCTACTCAAAGAGGAATGTAATTGATTCATTAAACAACATTGTAAAAATATCATCATAGAAAATATTACCAATTATAGAAATATTTCTCTCTCTAGAACTAGGGTTTTGGGAAGAAAGCAAGGATAAAGATGATGATGCCAACCTCTAAGCTAGCCCTTGAGGGTTCCATGACCACTACAATGAGTGGCTAAATCCTTCTCTTGGGGCTAGAGATAGCCCCTAGGCTTACTTCCTAAACTTAGCTTTTGTGTATTTTTGGGGATTTTAGTTGCAATAGATGTTTTGATTATAAATAAATATAGATCTTGTAATTTTTACTTAATTTGTATGGATTTATGCTTTCAATTTATTATTTAGTTCTATCCATATGCCTATGTATGCTAAAATTAATGTTCATGTTTTTGTCTTTAGATTTAATGAAATTGATGCATGTCTATGTGTGTTGATATTGTTAATCTAGTGATGGTCAAGGCATGGTGCTTAATTGAACACTCTTGTGGTTTATTTGATGGTTCATACTTATTTTTTGATGGATTATACCACACAATTAGTTTAATTAGCTTAATTTTCATGTCACTAGCTTAGTTGTAGTGTAATTGTTAATTGCTTTAATTTCTTAGGTAGATAGACAATCCATTCTTATTGTTTGATGTTCCATACTTATGAGTGCAAAGAGTACATTTCTCTAGACTTTTGGGTGTGCACCAATTGTGTTTTAATTGAATGGTTATTGGTCTCATTTGATAGGTTGTGCTATTCACTAGATTGATTAGACAATCTATGCTTATTTGCCATCCATCATGCTTTGTTTTTAATTAGTGGTACACACACACATTTTACAACTTAAATTTCCCCATTAATTTACAATTGCTAGTGTCTGGTGAAGTGAACCTTAGTGATGAACTCTAAGCCCCAAGACCCTTCTCTCATATATCTTTCCCTAATTTATAGATTGTTACTTACTTGCATTGTTTTAATTGAATATTAGTTTAATCAATCAATCAAACCATCTTTTGATCATTCGACCTACTAATCCAATATTAATTTCCAAACAAAAATATACTCCATTTCCCTTGGGATGATCCCTACTTACTCTAGTTACATTAAGAGTTAGTAATGGTAGTGACATTCTACAAATTTAAACTTGGCCATACTACACACTTTTTGTGCAACTAGGTTCAAAACACACCACGGTGCCAGCTTAATGGATAAGGTCGCCAGTTGTCAAAATATCTTTGCTATGTCAGCTTTGATCGATCGAAGTAAGTGTTCGATCGATCGAACCCACTGCTGGCAGTGAGCTATTTAATTCCCGAGAGTGCCCGAACTCCACCAACTTTTATAGCTGCGAGTTTGCACCAATCGAAGGCTTATTTTCTGACTTGTTTACTACTCCAATAAGCTTGTATAAAGGGGGAATTGAATCAATTGTTAGGGTCTTCAATTTTATTTTTATTTTTACATTGTAATAGTTAGTTTCTCGCTCTAGAAAAAGTTAGAGATTAGGGTTAGAAGAAAAGAAAAGAGTGGAGGCACCAAAAACACATCTCAAAATTTACACACACTCTCTCTCTAGAATTCAACAAAGAAGAAGAGGAAGAAGATGGAACCATGTTTAAGGATAGCCTTTGAGGGTTTCAAGATCACATCCACCTCCTCCATGATTGGCTAGACTTCTCCTTGGGCTTGGATAAGCCCCAAGTTTGTAATCTAAACCTCTATCTCTTTCATATTTTTTGGGGAATAATATCTTGTGATTAGTGTTTTAGCCTTGTGAATTTAATGAATCTTGGGTTCTCCTTTGATTTCTATGGATTAATTCTTTCTATTGATTCTCTATGTGCTTATATGTTGTCTTATGTGTGATTATTTGGGAATTGATCTATACACTAGTTTTTCTATATTAATTGCATGTTTATGTGTGGTTGATTGAAAATCTAGTGATGGCTATAGATGGTTTTCATTGAATGGATTTGTCAATTAATTTGATGGGTTATGCTTATACTTAATGGGTTGTTTTACAATTTAATTCATGCTTGTAGTTAGGTAGACAATCTATACTTAATTTGATATTCCATAGCTTATCATTGCCATTTTCATGATTCTCTAGATTGATGTGTGCTATAATTGTTACTAGTTTGATGGGTCATGCTTAGGATTGATGGGTTATTCTACACTTAGTTTAGTTGTTGGTTAGGTAGACAGTTTATACTTGAATTTGATGGTCCATGCTTAATATTACAATTGGTAGTTGCATTTTGTTCACAAGAAAGTTTTCCCCAAATTAGTTGAAAGTGTGTGGTTTGGTGAATGAGCTTGGTAGCGATTCCAATGCACCCCAAGACCTCACTTCTCATCTCTTAAATCCCTATCTCACTTTAGCTTGATTTTATTGCATTTTAATTAATTGCATCTTAGTGTAATCAAACAACTAACCCTCCTTCGCAATCATTTGGTATAATAGAGTCGAAATTAAATTCCAACACGTATAATCTCTTGGGACGCTCACTCATACTACATAGTATAAATGTTAAGCGATTTAAAAATTTAAAGTATGATGCCCACTTGACACTAATTTTCAAACTCAAAGTGTTGTGCATTATTTTATGCACATGCTCGGGTCGCATCATTTTACAACTTTTGGGAATAATTGGACTCACGGGGAATAAAGAGGGATGATTTTAAGTAATTCTCGCCTGTATTTTTAACCTCGAGCATAATCTGTCAGTACATTGTTCTGAAGTTGTAACGCGATTTTGACATCTTTAAAATGCGAATCTCGAAATTATTATTCAAGACAAAAACATCGGGCTTCGAGTCTTCTTTCCATTGCCGCTGATTTGCTCAATTTAGAGTTTTGAGTCAAAAGTTATGCCCAAAATACTGAAGCAGGTCAGAATTTTCATCAGTGCTCAAGCCCTAAAGAGTTGGGCTCGAGCTCTGGGATCAAACTTTGTTCGAAACGTCTTTTTATTCAACACTTAGCCATTTTAGGACTTCTTCTTCATAGTGCTCGATCACTGTAGCTTGAAGCTCGAGCCTTGGGGCTATGGCTCGAGGTTTTTGGGAAAAGGCTCGAGCTTTATGACTTTGGCTCGAGATTTGGCAACATAGAACTTCCAAAGTGTCTTTTCATATTTTCGATGTAATTTGGGTTTGACCACCTTTGCAAAGGCTCGATCATCTTGAGTTATGGCTCGAGCCTTAATATTTAGGCTCGAGCCTTCTGCCGTGGTTGGAATTCTTGCTTTTTCTTGACTTCTAGCTCGAGCCTAAAGAACATAGGCTCGAGCTTTGACACTTGGACTTCTCCAAAAATCATCCTTTTGGCTCTGGGCTTGCTTCAAATGATCGGCAATGACTTTGTTAGCTTCAATGTCAGTTTTTTCATCATAAATCATCGATTTTAACCATTTTTTTGGGAAAGTACCTAAAAACATGAAATAAACATAAATCAGTATAAAACTTAATAGAAGTATCACTTTAGGTCTTAACATATGCGTATTTAGGGGCTCGAATATGCAATATTCAGCACTCATCACTCGCCAAATGTTATTTTCTTATTAACCTTGACAACATTATTTCTTTTAATCTTATTTCATAAATTCCATGTGTCGATGGCTGAGTAGTTCCACGTGTCATGTCTTTGAATAATCAAGTAAGGTTGCATGTACAATAATATCTCCATGCAATCTTTACTTTCCAGATCATTGGGAATTTATGGGAAATTGATCTAGTGTGGTAAGTCTTATGAGACTCACCATATTCTTGATCTAATGGACTCCATGTGGCGGAATATGATTGGCTTAATTGGTCTTTGCCTTGAATTACTTCGTGAAGTCCATTGGAACTCACCACATGCTTCTTTCTTATTGGTAGACAATTTCTCTCTTGATTCTTACCTCATGCGTGAGTCTATGTAGCAGATACTTGGATGAGGTGTCCTTTATTTAAGTCAATTTGAATATAAGATGTCCTAATGTAATTCTTTTTTCAAATAATCAAGCAATAATCCAGCGTGGCAAGTTCTCTCTGGACTCGCCACATGTCGTCTTTCCATTTGTCCAAAAATAAATGGGATAAACAAGAAGGAAAAGAAAAAAGGTAATGGAGGGAAATCAAATATTGTGTTTGATATGAATTTTTAAAGGAAAAGAAAGGAAACAGAGGGATCTGAAAGGAAACAAATTATATAGAATGTGTTGGTTTTGTTATCTTTCTAAAAATGGGAGGAAAGGGAAGGAAATGCTAGCTTTTTTAATGAAATTTTATTAATGCAAATTTGCCCTTATTTCTATAAAAGATAAAATATATGAAAAAAGGGATATGGTAGTAAATTCATTATAATACTTCCATTTCATTTCTTTCCCAAACATAATCACTTATTTTTTTATTTTTATTTATTAATTAACCAAATACACGATAAGTAATTAACTATATCCTCTAATTTTCTTCTTTTTTCTTTTTTGTTTTGTTTTGTTTTGTTTGATTTTGTTTTATTTTTATTTTTCTATCTCCTAAATAATCTTATTCTTTTTTGTTTTTTTTTTTTCATTGTACCAAACATAGTGTAAGAGGTTCCGAAGGAATGGTCCTGCCGAATACGCGAAGCCAAACGGACCAACAGTGCAGTTAAATGTAAATTGATGTAATAAACCATGACATTCAAAACCGCGTATCCAGACATCCCCCACCTCGCATCATCCCGCGCTAACACAACATTCGAAGACAAACCTAACCCCTCGGCCCTCTCTCTCTCTCTCTCTCTCTCCACGCACTCACTTTCTTCTCAAATGTCCCGGTCCATCGCAGTGGACATCCTCTCCGACGACGATGACGGCGATCATCATCCAGTCTCAACCCCATTACCAACCCAATCCAAGAGGCACAAAGGAGAACCCAATTTTAACCCTACAGTCTTCATCATCGACGATGACCCAACGCCTCGGAAGCCGGCGGGCTCCTCTTCCACTCCATTGTTCATCCCCGATACCCCGATGCCTGGTTCGTCGAATTCGGATGTTGCAATAGTCAAATGCACCACACTTGTCTCTGATCCCCAACTCAGGTCCTCTTCAGCGTCCGACCAAAAGTTTTCCGGTGAGTTTGATGCTTCTGTATTGGAATATTAGTTTGTTGATTTTGAATTGATTTGGGTATTTATGCCCTTATAATGCGGTTTTAATTTTTTAATGAAATTGTCATTGATGATTGCAAGTTTTAGTTTTCTGCATATTAGTTTGTTGGTTTTGGTTAACTTTCTTATTCATGGATTTATAATGAGTCTCGTTGTTTCGAGTTCTTCATGAGATTTGAAGTCATATTGATGATTGTAGTAGTTGTTTTCCTTTTTACTTTTCTTGAGTGTTTGGGGTTGAAACAGTGAATTGGTATTATATTTGTTGAATTTTGATTAATGATAGAGTTATGGGAGCTTCAAAGATCACAAAAAGATTGAGCCTTGACGTTTGACAGGATCCACAATTTATATTGAGAGATTAATGACCATCATGCCAATACAAGTAAGAAAAAAAACCAACTTTTAAAATGTTGCCCCTCTCTTCTCAAAGACTTAAAGATGTGGTGAGATAGATGTAATACCCAGAAGTTTATTAAGATAATCCTGAATTGTACAGGACTTGGTAAACAAATTGGCAAGCTAACAAATGAGTAATTTTTTTCCTGGGAGTTTGATTACTGAATTAGTGGTTACTTCTGTTGAGAATGGAAATTATGTGTTCATATATTTGTTGCAGTTAATATTGATTCACAAAATAGCTGAAGAAACTTTTGAAGTCAGTGTTTCAAGTTTATCAAAGTACAGTTTAATGGGGGCTTTACTGGGTTTTTGGGTAAGAAGCTGGGTAGATCTGAAATGGTAATTTTGATTGTGGTTTGTGTTTCTTTAGCTGAACAATGAATTGGACTGTACTGGACTTGTGTTCTCATTTGTCAGGAATCTGTGGCTTGATTTGTTTGGAATCTGACAACGAGTCTGAAAATGGTTTTGGAAAGGAAAACCGGAAGCAGAATGGAACAATGGATGCTGCCTTTGATGTGAAAGAGGATTCAGAAATGAGCTCTAGATTTATTAACTCCTCATTTTCTTTCAGTAAGTTAATGCCATATCTTTATATTTTACTTGTTTGTGATCATGTGATGCTTGGAATAACTCATGAATCACAAAGAAGCAATTCTTTTTTTGATTATTTTTTATTTTTTATTTATATGATTTGAAATAAGCTATCTGATAATTTGATGAAGTTATAAAAACATGTGTTATCAGGGAATTTTAATTTAACACAAATGTGTGGGGACAGTTCTTTGCAGCCAGTTTGTTCAGAAGATATCCCCCAGGTATTTCTAACTGATGTATGATGATGATGACTTTCTTGTATTTATTTAATTTTCTTTTACAGGTTGGAGAGCTACATTTCTTGCTGGGTTAGTTTAATAATTTGGGTAAAATATAATGAAATATATCTACAACTTGGTGTATCCTCGTCAAAAATCTTAGTTTATTGAATTTGGCAGATTTAGCTCATGTCATGATCTTATTCTTATGAAACGCAATGTATTATATGCCCATTATACCCTTAGTTTTTTGTGTCCTTGTTAAGAGAAAAGATATTAAACAGATCTCAGGTGGACTCAATTAGGTGGAAGCCAAGGGTATGGAGACTAGATGTTTTGATGGTCCACAGGCATGGGTGATCTTAAATTTAGATGAGAGAGATTCAAGGAGTCAATATGAGAGGGTTTTAAAAGGGGTAAGGTCTTAACAGTTCTCTTCTAGGTTGGTCTTTTTTATCTGGCGTCATTCTTCTTAAATTATGGTGGTGGTGTATTTATAGCTGGAGGGAGAGTATTTGATGACCAGGTTGTTATGAGGATAATCATGACACTTTCTCTTTATTTTTGACTTGATGGAACAACACCATGTTAGAGACTGTACTTGAGGGGAACTTGATAATGACATATAAGATAGGGCTTTTTAATGAGAAAAAATTGCTTAAATGGCCAATCTTAGACGGGCGTATGTTGCGCAGAGTCAAAATGATCTCTCTCTCTCAAAGTCAGGTCGAGTGGACCTGAGGAAGGGTCCAACTCATTAGGAACCTGGAGGATGGTCACCTTAATTATTCTTGAACTTCAGCAGCCAAGTCACCTCTTAGAATCCTAGAAGGTGGTTATCCTTAATGATCTCTCATGGTGGACTCTGACGATTAGTTGTACACTGTTATAGAAACTCCACAAGTCCAACTTCCGACTCAAGCAGTGCATTAGGTGTATTAGGATGCTTTGGTCTTCAAGACTTCAAGCAGGGCTTTTTTGAGGAGAGGGTCCAAGTGGCGAGGCTTATTAAAGGAGAAGTCCTCGCTATAGTCTTCAAACAAGGTTTTGTCTGGGAAAAACATGTTCACGCAGCAAAACTTTTCTAAGGAGAATAAGTTTGCATATACATGCGTGCGTTTGCCAACAACAAGATTTATCTGAAGAGAAGAGCTTCTTGCAATTACAAATGCCTGTAGAGGAAGTTAGTGTCCTTTTGGGGATCACAAGTGCCCTTGGAGAAGGTGACAAGGTTGAGATCATAATTCCTTGTAGAGGAGGCTAAGAGGTAGAGGTCTTGAGGAGGACGTTCCAAGATATGGATCTTGCATGAAGCCATGGTTAATTGCTTATAAGGTAGTTGTTTGGGGGCCTGATACCCACAAGTTTAAATACCCATCTGTAGGTGCAGAAATTTGTTGACTAAGTATTATTATTTTTTATTTTTAATTTTGTATTAAAAAAGCGTTCAAAAGGGGAATGCATCCCTGAAAAGCTACACAAGGCCAAATAGGGCCTCTAAACTCTCAAAGAGTCCAAAAAGTAAACTATCTCCTCCATGGATTTACAATTTCTCCCTAGAACCCAACAAAAAGGATAAGTTTTCGAATGTTATTCAGGCGGCGTAGGCACGCACGACTTTGGATCATATTCCCTTGGCTCACCCTTCAGATTTGAAAACATGTGGCCTTGTTCCGAGGGTTTCAGGGAGAGAGTTCGATCTTGGTAGGAGAGCTATGTGGTTTCTGGTAGCCCGAGTTTTTCTCTTGCTGGTAAATTATGACGTCTGAAAGAGGACCTCAAAAAATGGAACAAGGACGATTTCGGGAAATTGGAATGGAGGAAGAATCGTGCTTTTGATGAGATTGTTGATATTGACAAAAAGGAAGGGGAGGGTAATATTATTGAGTTTTTGGTACAGAGAAGGGTGGAGTGTCAGGAGGAAGTTGCTGAGATTGCTTTATTAGAGGAAATTTCATAGAGAGAGAAGTGCAGGGCTTTGTGGCTTAAGGAGGCGGACAGAAACATGAATTTTTTTCATCGGTTGGCAAATGCTCACAGATGGGGTAATCATATCGGAAGAATCATGGTGGATGGGGAGCTTCTCTCCAAGGAGGAGGATATTTGTAGGGGGTTACCTCTTTCTTTCAGAGTTTGTTCACGGAGACAGAGACTTTGCCACCTTTGCTTGGGGGTTTGCATTTTGTTTCTATCTCTTAGTTGGATAGTGTCAATCTGGAAAGGCCTTTTTTCGAGGAGGAAGTTTTGAGGGCTTTGAAGAGTTGAAATGGGGATAAAGCCCCAGGTCCATATAGTTTCTCGATGAGATTTCTTGTTGAAAGCTAGGAGGTGGTGAAGAGGGAGGTCATGTGAACTTTCTCTGCTTTTCACTCACGGGGACACTTTGAGAAAAGTTTAAATGCAACGTTTATTGCTCTTATTCCAAAGAAGGGGGAAGCGCGAGACGACAAGGATTTTAGATCTATCAGCTTGGTGGGGAGCATTTATAAATTGATTGCCAAGGTTCTAGCATCGAGATTGAGGGGTGTCTTGGATAGTGTCATTTTGGATTCTCAAAATGTTTTTCTTGGAGGTCGTCAGATACTCGATTCTGTCCTTATTGCTAGCGAGTGTGTAGATTCCAAACTTAAGTGTGGGGTTCCGGGTGTTCTATGCAAATTGGATATCAAAAAGGCTTATGATTATGTTAGTTAGAGCTTCCTCATCTATTTCTTGGAGTGGATTGGGTTTGGTGAGAGATGGAGGAAATGGATTGAATTTTTATCTCTAGTGTTCGGTTCTCAGTCCTTGTGAATGGAGCACCGACAGGCTTTTTTAGAAGCTTGAGAGGGTTAAGAACTTAAGACGGGGGGGACTCGCTATCTCCTTTTCTTTTCCTTATTGTGATGGACACTTGTAGCCTAAGAAGCACGGACATGGATACGACAAGACACGGACACGGCGACACGGCAAATCCAAAAAAATTAGGACATGGACACGGCGGGGATACGCCGAATAGTGTATATATATATATATATGATGTAGTACTTTAAAAATTACTTAGTGTTACTATTTTTCATCAACCTCACAATGAAAAAAATACACAAATCATAACTCATAACTAATAAACTATAAAAGAACAATGTTGCAGAGTTATAAAACCAAATAAAAAACAAGACATTAGAATAATAACTAGTATCATTTAATCATCATTGCAACTTTACTCCAAATACAAAAGCATAGACAGAAAGGACTATTAACATTCATGACTGTTTAACATTCAGGACTGTACTGTTAGCACTTAACATTCACAAAAACCTATAGGCTAGTCCCCAAAAAAGATAAAAAAACAAGTCAGTGTACTATCATCTATTCCCATCTATCATTTGACTTGGGACTTTACCATTTACAATACCAAAAGGGTAGTCCAAAACAAAAGAAAGAACATATCAGCATTCATCTATTGTTGGTCATCATCAATTGTCTCATGAATCTCATCATCATTAACACTTCCATCATCGGTAAATAATACCGCCTCTAATTCCGGCTCATCAAGTGAGAGGTTTGCAACCTCAAGCACCCTAACATCACCAATTGAATCAAATGCGTCTCCTGCAATATCTCACATCTTACTTCGTCCTTCATTGTCCTGTGGGGTTCTCCTTGACAGAAGACGGAGATTACTATGAATGAAAACCAAATCTTTAGCCCGTTGTGGGGCCATCTTGTTCCTTCTCAATGAGTGAATAAAAGAAAAAGTACTCCAGTTCCTCTCACAACATGAGGAGGAAGAAGGTTGGACAAGCAACTTTAAAGCTAACTCTTGAAGCAAGGGAGCATATGAACCATGTACAACCCACCAACTTTTAGGATCCATGGTATATCTATCACATATAGAATCACTCTCCCCAAATTCCCCCAAGTTTGATGAAAAATTAGCATACTCCAATTTTACTATTGAACACTCTTGTGGGTCACTAAAGTATTTTTTAAGGCACCTTGTTCTCTCTCGTGAGACCTCTAAATCCTTGTGTGGTGGAACTCGACCTTAGTTTTCACTGAGCCACACATCACTATAGTACCTACAATAAATAAGAGAATGCATTTAATTCATAATTTAATTTCCTTAATTCTAAACTAAGATTAAAACTTCTTTAGCTTACAAATTAATATCTAATGATTTACCTTGGATTTAGTGAATGTGCCAAGCAATGAAGCGGAGTATTGTTCATGTTCCAACGAGCTACAAGTATCCTATGCACCAGTTCATAAAAGGAAGAACTTTCATTTTGTCGCTTTCTTTCATACCTATATATTGCCATCTTCACTTTTTCAATCATTGTATCCCACATATCATAAACTAAGTGAAGACAAGGCTTATTGGTATCACAAGCCCTTAGCATGTCATAAATAGGTGAAGTAAAGGAAAGGATATAATCAATCTTTCCCCACCATTGTTCATCCAACAGCTTCTCTCTTACATAATCGGCCTTTCCTATATCATCCTCCCTATAGCAAGTCCACTTGTCACTTATGACCATTGCTTGGAGACCACCTTTTATAAGTTTAAATCTTTTGATCATCACAATAACAAAAGCAATGCGTGTCTCCGCAACCGAAAGCAACTTCAAGCTGACAAACTCATTGAAAATAGCTAATCTCATTGAATGGTTCATGATGAAATTGTTTATTAGGTTACAATCATCAGCATAATCAAGAATCCAACCACACTCTGCATATGCAGTTTCATTCTTTTCCACGTTTTTTGCAGCACAAATATTTTTGAGGGCAAGATTAAGAGTACCACACAAGGTCATAGTTGTTAAAGGCTCAAGGCGCACAAAAGCGCAAATGCCTCCTGGAGCCTGAGGCGCAAGGCGAGGCGCGCGCCCGACTTAAGCAAGGTGCACGTTAAAAAAAAAAAAAAAAAAAAAAACCCACCTAATAAAGTATTAAAGATGCAAAAGTCATCTAAATGAATTACTTAGGTTCAATATTCAACATAAAGATGTCAAAGCCAACTA